TTGAATTTGGGGAGTCATCATCTCCCATATCTAGAACATAAAAGTCAGCTGGGAAAATAAGTTCATTGACTTGAACTAACACGTCCTCTAGCACACCTTTTGGGTGTACTATCGACCGCTCAGCAAGTTGAATGATTACACCGGTTTTGCTCAATGTTCCTACACCAATTGATTTGTAAACAGAGTATGGTAGGACATTTATAGATGCACCCAAGTCAAGCATAGCTCGAGGTACATGAAGATTCCCCAATTTGCAAGGCACAGTAAAGACACCGGGATCCTTGCACTTCGGGGGCATCTTCTTTTGCAAAACCGCTGAAATGTTTTCACCAACTTTTACCGTTTCATTACCTTTAAGTTTCTTTTTAGATATGCAAAGTTCTTTTAAGAACTTAACATATCTAGGTACCTGTTTGATGACATCAAGGAGTGGGATATTGACATGAACTTTCCGAAACATTTGCATGATCTCACTCTCCTCTCGTTCTTTCTTTGTGCTCACCAATCTTTCGGGAAATGGAGCGACTGGAGTATATTTGACTTCGGTGGTGGCAGGCTTCTTTTTGTTGGATTTTTCTTTATTTTCCTCCTCATTACTCGACTTATTCACCACTATCTCCTCTTCTTTTTCTTGATCAACCGATATTGATGGGTCATCATAACTCTTTCCACCTCTCAATGTGATAGCACATACGTTGTGCCTTTGGTTTTTCTCAGTTTGGGCAGCTAACTTTCCTTGAGATTCAAACTTACTAACCGAAGTAGCAAGTTGTGCCATTTGGTGCTCAAGATTCTTGATGCTTGCCTTGGTTTCTTGCTGAAAACTTTAAGTGCTAGTGGCAAGGCTTTTGACTATGTCTTCTAGGGACATACTTGAGGATCCGGCTTGTTGAGGAGGAGGTTGTGGTTGCCTCGGTTGGTAATTTTGTTGTGGGAATGGAGGCCTTGCTTGGTAATGGGGTGGTGGTCTTTGTTGATAGCCCATGTTTTTGTTGTTGTTCCACCCTTGATTGCCTCGGGGCTGATCATAAGTTCTTTGATTATGCCCGAAATAGCCTCTCATGGCTTTTGCTTCTTCATAATCTTCCTCTTGAAGTTGAGGGCACATGTCGGTTGGATGCCCCACTTGAGTACAAATACCGCATGGGCGGGGTGTAGGCTGCACACCTTTGTCTTTGGCTAGCATCATAACCACTTTCGTAAGCTCGGGCAATTGAGCTTCAATTTGAGGAGTTTGGCCCTCCTTTACACCTCGGGGTGCATCCGTGTACCATTCTTCATCATGGCTTGAATGTTTAGAATCTTCAGCCATGTTCTTGATTAGATTGCGGATTTTGTTTGGAGTCTTGTCAGGTAAAGAGCCGCCACTAGAAGCATTAAGAAGTCTTCTCTCCATTGGAGCCATGCCTTCAATGAAATATTGGAGAAGCTGATACTCGGTAATTCCATGTTTGGGACAGTGGGCACAAAGTTTCTTGAATCTCTCCCAATATATGTGGAAAGCTTCTCTCTTGTGTTGCTTAATTCCAATGATTTCCCTCCGTAGGGCTGAAGCTTTCATCTCCGGAAAATATTTGTCCAAAAACAACCTCGCAAGATCTACCCAAGTAGTTACCGTCCCCGGTGGGAGGTCATAAAGCCAGTCTTTGGCTGCATCTTGCACCGCAAAGGGGAATGCCCTAAGCTTGATTTGATCCTCCGTGACATTGTGTGGTTTGATACCCACACATACTACATGGAACTCGGTGAGGAACTTGTGAGGATCTTCATTCTCCAATCCTCTAAAAGTTGGGAGTAAGTGGATAAGCCCGGATTTTAGTTCAAGGTTTGTGGCAGCTGGATATGTGATACAAAGAGGTTGTTGAGTAACCTCTTGTCTTGACCATTGGCGGAGGGTTTGTTCGGGTGGTGGGTTTGGAGGTGGGTTTCCTCCATGGTTATCCCCCATGGCGTGAGAAGTAGTTGAAGTTTCTGTAGGTGTAGTGTTTGGGATATTATGAACAGGTGAAAAGGGTGGAGTGGTATTTTTGGGTGAGGATGATTGTGGTGAGAGTGATAGGCTTTCTGTTTCTGATGCGGATACACTTGAGAGGGGTATGTCCTCCCAAATGTTGATGACCGGGGGATTGGATGATGAAGAAGTACCGGAAACCGGTTGCCTCTTATGAAGCTTGGCTTGCTTCCTTAACTTCTTTGCAGTCTTCTCTATCTCTGAGTCAATTGGTAGTGGTGTACCTGTACGAAAAGATCTAGGCATAAACAATTAGTAACACCGTGTCCCCGACAACGACGCCAATTTGTTAGGCGTGTCAAGCCCAACAAATAATAGGGGTAAAATAGACTCCAGATACACTGCTTTAATGCACTAAAAAGTAGTACAAGGCAAGCAGGGTCAAACCACAGAGACACGGGACAAAAGTCTATACCTTTTTTGCATAAGGTACTTTGGTCACAGATGGGGGTTTTGTTTGCAAAAGTCAAATAATAAAAGAAATAACAATCAACTTTGAAACATGCATAAAATGAAATAGATTTGTAAACAAGTTGTAAAAGTGCTTCCAGTTCTAGTTCTCAATGTTGTCATTTAACCTGATTATGACTTGATGTAATTTGTGATTGCTATTTTAAGTTGGTACTGAAAGATATTAACACGCTCTAATACCTCTCGCTCGCCAAATTATCTAACCAAAATACGCTCTTTGACTGGACCTAGCTTCACTAATTCAACCTAAACACGCTCTTAGATTGTATTGGAAAACTGCATTAAGTTTTGTACAAGCTTCCCAACAATGTTCATTTCTTCTCATACGCTCGGAAGTGTGAAAACATGTGATATATGTTTTACAATAAGAAAACTTATTGCTTGTTACCAATTATTAACTTAATAGAACGATTAGGTGCCCTAAAAGTTAATTAACTGCACAAAAATTCAATTCATTAAAGTGGCCAATCAAACACAAATCAAATTTAAGGGTTCTAGTTTAAACAAAAACATAATCACTAGAATAGAATCACAAATCAAACATCAAATCATATGCTTCAAGTCAATCAATCAACATGTTTTGAACAAGAACTAGAAACTAGGGTTTCTTAGCCACACATGGCTAAGAACAAATCAAACAAGAAAAATGATGGAATTGAAATGTTTAATGCTTACTAAAATGAAATCCAAAAATGTTTGCAATGATTTGGTCTTCTCAAAAGCTCCAAGAATTCTCCTAGAATCGCCCAAACTGCTCCCAAAAACTGTTCTCCCTTCAAATGACGTCTTCTCCTGTCTTTTATTAAAGTCCACGTGCATGCCATGAGGCCATGCGTTTTTGGCATGGCCATGCCTTTTGCCCATGTGTTTTTGGCATGGCCATTTGTCTTGACCATGTGTTTTTGGCATGGCCCATGCTTTTTGCTAAAATTCCAAAAAGTCTTCACTGTTGACTCCATCTTCAATCTAGCTTCACCACGAGTCATGTTGCTCAAATATGAGATGATAAAGGACAAACACGACCCGTGTCAGTGTGACAAGAACCGCATTTCAAACGTAGTCCTTTGCTATGATGATAATGCAACAATGACTCGGGTTATGTCTTCATGCTTTCCTCTATGGAATGACTGGTTCATCTTCTCTGCATGCTCCAAGGCTCCAAGAATCCAAGCTCCATGCATCCATGCATCCAAGCTCCACGTTCCATGCTCCATAATGCCTGCAAAATAAATCAAAAATAGTGAAGTACCAGGCATTCTTAATGAAATATGCAATTGCCCTAATAATCAACTAAATGCAAGAATTATGAAGTAGAATGCTATAAAAAGACGGAAATAAACATGCAAAATAGGTGCATAAAATGCACCTATCAATGACGCTGAGTGTTCCTTGTCATTCTTCTCTCATTGGTCCCGGAGAATTAAACGCAACTCCTACTCTCTACATCCACATTTTAGAATTCTCATGACATAACGTCACTCATTTCTCTTTTGTGCATCTCTTGTGCCGCAACACTAATGAACGACTAACCTTATGTATAATATGTGTATCTATATAACGTATATATAAGTTTTAGGTTTGAGGCATATAATGCGATCGATACGCAAGAACGTTTAACTAAGGTTATTATCCACTTACTTCTTATGTTACCACAAGAATGATCGAGTAAGGGAATGAAAGAGATTGCACAACTGTTGTGAACTGATATCACAGTACATGATCTCTGATGATTGTGGTCTACATAATCCGACAACGAAGTTAAAAAAAAAAAAGAAAAAAAAAAGGATATTGAATTTTTTTAACAGTTTTAAAACTTCATTGCTTTTAAGTCATTTTTCAATTTACCTGAAGTAATCAGTTAAGATAAAGTTTTATTTGAACATATAAGTACTTGCTTTGGTATTGTGTGTACAAATAATATACTTTAATGGTATTTTTTTTATTAAAAAAATAACAATGATATTTTTTGAACATTTTGGAAACCGGGTAACCCGATATAGCCGGTTCAATGGTATTTTGTTTAAAAAAAAACAATGATCTTTTTTATACATTTTGAAAACTTTGTTGCCTTTTTAAGTCATTTTCCCAAACTCTTTGTACTCTACTAATTTGCTCATGTCAAGTGACCCGCTAGGCACATGATGTTTTTTTTTATCACCGATTCTAAAAAAAACTTAATATGCCCTAATCTATAGATTTTATGTAGCTAATCTGGTTTAGGAAGCAAGAAACATTATCAACTTTAAAACCCTAAATCATTTAATGATAGACTAAGCCACCAATATGCAATAGACCAAAAAAAAATTGTATTGTAGATGTGCTGTGTGGTATCAAACAGTCTGAATCTGAATCTGAGTCATACGCAGCCCCTTATTAAAGCCAGTAAGAGGCATATCAAACACCCGTTAGTTTAACAAAATTAACAAAAAGTAACCTCTAAACAATCCAAAATACATTCATTCATAACCATATTCAACAAAATCAAACTCTTTAACAAAAAAACATCCAGATTACAGATTCAAAACTTTCTAAAAGTAAGATTCAATCGACCCGGGAGCATATTTGTTGCTTCAAGAAGTGATTTAGGAGCAGTATCAGGAAAAATACAAGGGACACCATGAAATACATGTCTCGAATCCCCTCCAAATATCAAAACATCTCCTGATTCCAAATTTACCCTTTCTGCTTTCTCAACATCCCTATCATTTCCATATAAAAACTCTGCAGTTTCCCCTACTGAAAATGACACAACAGGTAACCCTTCATTCAAACTCTCTTTACTTTCATCTTTGTCCTGAAAAAAATAAAACACAATTTAAACAAAACAATTCCTCATAAATTAAAGAAGACCAAGATTTAAAATTCTAACCTGATGAAGACCAAGCTTTTCCGGTTTTTGTGTAAAAATTGACAATGCAGATATCAGGTAACATGAAAGGAATGATTTTTCCTTTGTTTTTTTTCAATATGAGCATTTGAATCTTGTAATGCTCTTTTCACCATATCATGAAAAAAATCAGGAATTTTTGGAGGTTTTGAATTATCAATTGGTCTTGTTTCAATGTATCCACTACTCTGAGGATCCCAATTCCTACCAAGACACATCATTTTTAAATGTAGTTTTGCTCCATCTTGATACCCAGGTTGATAAAAACCTCCTTCTTCTATACCTAAATCCCTGCAAATTTTTACTATTTTCACCTGACAGATAAAGTCAAGAAAAGTCAAAGGGTATGATGATTGAAAGTTTGAATGTATCTTTTCATAATCAAGAATGCAAAATGTACCTGATCATCGAAAGAAATATAGCCTTTCAAGAGTACCATTCCAGACCTCAATATATTGATTTTTGGCCCTTCTGCTTCGCGTTTAGATTGATTTCTTTTTTCTTTGTTTGTTGAAAGTAGTGAGGGTTTTAGCTTTACAGCTCCAGTTTTAACCTTCTTTGGACAGATGTCAAATCGTGTTATAGAAGAAACATGGTTAGTAATAGTATCCTCTGGTTTTCCACCTTTATCCCCAATTTGCTTTCCCTTCTCAGCAATTCCATCCTGTGATTCCATTCCTTTCTGGCTTTTTGATGGGATTGGATACGTATGATTTGAATTCTTTGAATTAGAATCAAAGGTGGATACAGATTTTGGTTGTGTTGAAACATTATCTGCTCTCTGACTTGAATCTGGGATTGGCTTGAAGTTCTCTGACTCTATATCAGAAGATGGATTTTTGACAGGATGGGATGAAGATTCCTTTTGTAATTGAGGAGTTAAATCTGGTTTAGGAACTGAATTAGACATTTTCTCTGAAGTACATTCGGCAGTAAGTGAAGAATCATCCTTCTGATAACTGGAAGCACCAACACAAGATTCATCTAATGCAACCTGGGAGTTAATTAGGTAAAGAGATTGGTTATAGAAACTTGAGAAACTATAATCTTGCAGAAAAAATAGCCCCTGCTAATGATGATTAAATTGTGTTTCTTGATTTCTTCCATGCCTATAGGTTTTAATTCGTCAGATATTTCAAAACTACTGAGTGGAGATTGAATATTGTCGGATCTTTAACAATCTGAGGCTAAAAATTGAGGCCAGATAGTACCTTTGTCTTCGGTTTCCACTCAAATGGAGGACCAGCATTCGTTTGTTTCCACCTACCGGCTGATTTACCCGCAAGAAACTGATTGCCTCGACCACGAGAGCGTCCGGAGGACATCTTTCAATTGTTCGGAGAATCACTGCAATTAGCAAACACAATTTCAGTAATCGAATTTCTTCTGCTGCCCTAATTGCGATCATACTATTCAAACTGGAGTGCGAAAAACCTGAAATCGGAAGTTATTAAACTTGAATTGTACGCCAACAAAACCCTAAAACAAAATTCACGAGTATTGTTTGCGAGAGAGAAAATCGATGCTTGAAGCAAAAGGCACAATCTGCAGTGATTGATTCTAAAGGAGGGTTTAAGAAAGGGCGTAAGCAGCGATTGGCATTCGTATGAAATTATGTATGTGGCGGTTTCTATTTGGTTAAAATTTCCGGGATAATGACTTAAACAATTTCCTGAATAATGACTTAACAGTTGTTTTAATTTTATTTTTTTGATTTATCAATAAACTATTTGAAATTGTTTACACTTTATTTTTATTAGGATTATAATTAGTTGTAAGAGTAAAATATGAATAATTTTAAATACTTCATTGTTAAATTAAACACGAAAAAAAATAGGTAACTGTTGATTCGTTACATTTTTCAAGTCATTATTTTTTTTTATTGTCACGGTCAATATAATTTTTTTTTATGGTTGCATAAAATTATTATAAAATTTAAGGAGTTCATATTTTCAGGAAAAATGCTTATCTTTATTGTTTACACCAATCATTGTATATGTTATGATCAAATTATCAAATCTCTTATGTTCACGTGTAATTTAAACCATATCAACCATATTAAGTGGGTGTTCAAATTTGTTGCAAACATTGACCTCACATTCTTCCAAGACCGAAAGTGAAAGCTTTTGTTTTGTAGAATTTGATTTTTCTAACAAGAAATATGTTTGAGAGCCACATGTTACATCTTGCAAATCTTTTGAATAAAATTGACTTTATTATAGTGTTGGTATTATCATTTTATCACCTCGTCTTTATATCTTTTTATTTCTCTAAATGCACTAATATAGTTTATATATAGTTATATGTTACATAGTAACAATGTTAAACAAGAGTAATGTATCTATGATGTATGAAATATTAGAGTACTTAACATAACAATACATATAAGATGTATCCATCAAAATGATTATTGTGATGTTTAAAAATTATGATAAATAAATTTAAATATAAATCCACAATACTCAGGTTTGCAATAAATTTGAACACTCACTTAACAAAACATGGTCGAAATGGTTTAAAATAAATGGAGACAATAAGATATTTGTAACAAACTTTCAATTTTGTTCAAATTTAGTCACCGTACTTTTTGTCGTGCGTGATTTACCCATGAATGAATTGAAATTCGTTCACATTTTACCTTGATGATTGGTTGTAGACGATTATGGGTGAAATATAAACAATTTCAAATAACCAATGGGTAAATCAAGTACGAAAAAAAAATCAACGATTAAATATATGAGTAAAATTGAAAGTTGGTTATCTTTTCAAGTCTTTTTTATCCTTTAATTTTCATGTGTGTATTAATTAAATACAACAAATTTCTATATTATCTTTTAAAATATGCATCAATTATCATTTAGATAATGAATAAAGGAATAAAATATTTTATGTGGATTAAAATCAAATTATGAAGAAAATTGGGCTATGTCATAATTAATATTGGGCTGAAATCAAGTAAAGAGAACTAGGCCGAATACCTTTGTGAACAAATATTGGATTGAGGCCATATCCGTGGGGTTGGTGAAGGTCCGGACCCAGCCTCCAGACCCGTATGTTTGACAGTTGACATCGTTTGTTCTTTTTTTTTTTTTTTTTTTTTTTGAAATTAATAAAGTGTACTGAATTGAATTGATAACGATATCTAAACTAAAATGTTGTTATATAAATATTTAATAGCATGCAATATCTGCAAATTTTAACGCTTGTCATTGGGTAGAATTTATGTAGGACGAAGACGAAATACATGCTGAAGTGACTCCCTTTTATTGCTAGAATTGTTGTTGAAAATATTTGATGAATTAACTAAAAATTTTATAAGTCTTATACACACTGAATTTAAATGTGAAAGTTTATTTTTTGTAAATTAATCTTGAAGACTTTTGTTGCGATTTAAAAGTAAAATACAATTGTCTATTTATTGGAGAAGTTGTCGTTTGTTTCATACTCAATAAATCATAAATGGTTGCTGGGAGTTGTAAAAATCATAAATTTATGCATTTATTTTTCTTATGCCATATTGTGATAGCATGTAACATTGTAACATATGCAAATTTTGTTGTCAAATCAGATGGTAATATTATTAACTTTTTAAAAAAGATAAAATATTAAAAGAAAAAAGATAGTCGGTAGCTCACAGGTACAAAAAACCAATTATAAGGAGAAAAGAAAACACACATTATTAAATGCATAAGCTTTGTTTGGATGCATGTAAATACCTTTGTTCATTAAAACCATGATATGTTTGGAATGATCAGGCTCAAGAAAACGGATATCTTTGATGAGATTATTTTTTTGTTATTTCTTTTATATTAAATATAGTGGTACTAAATATAATTTAAATTGGATTGGATGGTTTCGCAATGCTTTTTTTTTTTTTTGCATGCATGACTCTGTAATATGTTTTTGTTAGTTTCTTGCTAGCATGTTTTTAATTTGAATTTTACTTCCAGAAAAATGTTATGTTTTGTTTTTCTCTGTGACCATCTTATGGCAACTTGCCTTCATTAAAACCGGAATATAGTAATATGCTTTTCTTTCAAATGTTCATTAATATCGAACAATAACTTGATGGAGTAATTTAAAAATCCAAAACATAAAATGGTCATAAAACATAACTTTAGTTAAGCTCAAAACATAAAATAGTTTTAAATGAAAACTATGACAAATGGTTTTAAATGGTTTTAATAGACAAAAGTATAACATAAATGTTATTAAAACAATGACAAATAATATTTTGACTTTTTATGAGGTTTCCCTAATATAAACTTTTAAAAAAGAAAAATGTATTATGACCCTATTCCTAACTTTTTCTATTATTTCACAGTATCGTCTTTTCACACTTTAAACAACTTTATAGGACCATATTTTTTTTCACTTTTATAAACTTTATTTTTTCTATACTATAAAGTATAAACGTTTTTATCTCCATTTAGTATGAAAGTCAAACCTTCATCTCCTTCAACACGTTTTTCACACATTCACTTTAACTTCAAGAGAATCAGCCTTTTTTAACCTTTAATTTTGCTTTATGAATCTCATCATTTTATTCTTAACGACATAAACTTAAAGCACCTTAAATCAAATTCCTAAAATTACATACAAATAAACACATAAACACACTTAAAAACACTTTCAACAAAACAACGTTGTATCAACATCTGACTTCCACAACCCGCCTTCAACGTCAATTTCCACAACCCAAAAGTCTTCAATCTAAAATTAGATTTGCATAAACATTATCAGCATATGTAATGTACCACTTATACAACATAAAATACAAGTCATTATAGCATAAAATTCAACCAATTATGATTTGGGTAAAGTTTTTACCTAATTTGAAACGTTATACTTGCATAGATTCTCGAATCCCATGTATTCATGTCGCCCGATTTTCCAAATCATGTTAGAAATTCCAACTCCACCTATTAAACCAAATTTTTTATTTATAAACAAATATATTTCATAAAAATAAAATTGAATTACGTAAAAAAAAAGATACTGACCTAATGATATTGCACTAACGAATATAGTGAACGCGAGTATAAATATAATTAGTGACGCCCTTCCCATTATCATAATCAGCTTTCTCACCACATGTTGCCCCACAAAAGCAGCAATTGTTGCCACAAGAAGAAAATAAAGTGCTGCCAACAAAATTACGTAAATACCCTATTCATAAAAAAATAGCCCTAGAAGAATCGACTTACCATAAGGAACAGGGAAACGCTTTAGAAGGTAATATTCCACAACAGACATCGAGGACGAAAATGTCATTGCAAATGTGGCAGTGGCACTTGAAACCTACACAATGTTTTTATTGCTCAAACAAATTTTAATTTTAAATTTTTAATAAAAAAAAAAGTTACCTGAGGAGGTACTCCAAGCTCCAAAAAGAGTGGGCCCATAATAAAACCTCCACCTAAACCAAGTAATCCACCAACCATACCAGCTAAAACACCACATGTGAGATACAATACTAGCTGTCCTATGGTAAGATTGGTGGAGTCTCCCTTAGAGGATATAATTCTTGATCCTCTGTATAGGCTAATTGCCTCATACCCCGATACACCAAAAGAAATTGGAATCTACACACATTTATATTTATTCAGAAACACTTTATTGAGTTAATAGAAAACGAAAAAAAATTGTAAGGATACCTGTGATAAGTTGAGCACCCAATACCATGTGGAACAATTAGATGTATAATTCTGTCACAATATATAAAAAAGAAAACATAAGTTGATATAAAATAATAAAACTATGAAAATTTGAGGATATTAAAGATTATGTTGTAGTTTTATTTTTATACACTACCTTCGCAAGTTGGAGGGCAAGAAATGCAATCCAAACAAAGACAAGAAGCGCGAGTTCTTTCCAACAAACATTTTCAAAGACAGAGACCTGAAATGTTTATATATTAAAAAATATTAATTAAAAATTAAAAACAAAAAGCACGATTTTCACGGGTGGTATAGTATCAGTATTAGTATCAGTATCAGTATGAGTTTCACCTCTTCTTTTTTTGGTCGATTGGGTTTGGTGGGACCACCGGGAAGAATCTTGTATTCCGCCTGGCTACCATCTGCTGACATGGCAAAGACATAAAATGATAAAACTTAAAAGTAGTGACATGACATTTAAGTCAAAAACAAAATCATGAAATTTATTTTTTTGTGGGGTTGCATGAAATGATCAAATCAACTTACTCTCCAAACGCCTAGCAGCCTCCTGAAATGAGAAAAAAAAATTAATATATATATTTAACATGTGTGGAAATTGTTAATTAATTAATGAATTTTTATTACCTTTTTCATGATGGTTTCTTTTTTCCATGTATCAACACCTCTACAGAAGGCCTTGCTTGATGTGGCTGAACATTTAATTAGCATTCATATATGAAAGGTCATTTTGGGAAAGATTTATGGAAGAAAGAAATAATTAACAATACCTATGAAAAGAACAATTAGAAGAATAGTGACCATCCAATCGGCAAAAATTACATTAAATGCCACTCCAATACTAATTCCTAACATCAACATTGGTTGGATTAGAAGTGCCAGGTCATAGTCAATTATTGGCATGTCAAGTGTTGGATGCCTGAGCTTTAGATTATAGTAAACAGTCGAGGCGGCTGCTCCCATAATCATGCCTGTTCAACAAAATCAAAATCGATAAAGTGTTACTGTTACTTTTACTTTTACTATTACTGTTAATTTTACTATTGTCATCAGGTATTGGTGTAAATGAGACAAAAATTGTAACTTTTTGTCTCACTGGAAAAAGTGGAAAGAGATAAGTATAGTGGATAAAATAACTAGACAAGACCAGACAAAACAAGGGTATTAAAGTAAATTTATATGTGTGGCAAATGCTTTTGTCTTACATTTTGAAATTGCAGTGGCGGATTTTGGATCAAAACCGATAATTAGGGTAAGCATTGGGACGAAAATACCCCCGCCTCCAACTCCACCAACACTTCCAAATGCTGCTCCACAAAATCCAATGATGCTCCCAAGAACTATTTTCCAACCAAGTTTCATTTCCTGTGAATTTATGATTGTTCATCTTTGAGTTTTCATTCTTGAAGTATTAATCAACAGTTAATGCAATACATAATTTTTTTTTTTTGGCTAGTTAAGGTAACAACCATCTAGAAAGATATCAAAAGATGTTGGTAGTTCCTTCCTCATATAGCAACTGCAACAAAAGACTTTACACGACATATTTACAATAAATGTATTTGTCAATCTGACAAATGTTTTGAACACCATTCAATAAAGACAAAAGAAAATGTGGTCCAAATTAAAGAACTACGTAAATCTTTAAAAGTGTGAGAGGAATTACATTATCGAGGCCTTGCAAAATGAAAAAGCAATTGCCTTTTTAATGGGAAAAAAGGAATATTATATTTCCTGGTTAAAAAACATTTTTAGTACTAAAGATAGTGAATTGTTTCTAGGAATCTTACAACTTTATGTTAAGTTGATATGTACTGACCATGAAAGCCTCTTTCCTTTTAGAGCACAGAAGGTTTTCTATTCTACGTAAGTAAAAAAGAGAACAAAAATTTTCTTTAAAAGGTTTTAATATATCATGTGGCTCCATTCTAGATTCATTTCATGGTGGATTTTGTCATAATATTTGAAAAATACCCAAATTAGAACCCACAAAATCGAAAACTAGAACTCGCAAATCAATTTTAACCTAAATGTTTATAAACACACTTCAATAAAAGCTTAAAAGGAAAACATATTAAGGTATATACGCCCCCAGGTTGATTTGTGTGCAATTCAGTGCCTAATCTATTGATCCATTTTAAGAAAGTGAAATTGTTCGTTCTGCAGTCTGCGAAATTGGTACTCCATGATTTCCTAATATTTTATTGAAATTAGATCATAAATAGATAAACACTTACAGGCCAGAAATGGTGATAACCCGATCCATCTGTTTCGAACAAATAGTTCGTCAACTTCATGAAATACTCCATTTTCGATTCATCGTTATCGCCATCGCCATAGCTTGCAACTGCCGACACATCTTCCGTCATTACGTTTCTTTCCGCGGAAGCGAACATCGAAGCGAACACAAAGCTCATCAGCATCATCGTCATAAAACTCATAAGCCTCCATTTATGTGCACCAATTTCAGTCATTGATACAATGATCGAAACGCCTCAGGATTTTGTAAATTTCCCGCAGATAAAATTTTCCCACGCACGTCGTCTGTAATTTGCAACCGAGCGACAATTTCTCGATACTGTTCTTGTGTCTCTCCGATTGAATAGAAGAGGGAACAAAGCAAAAATAATAATAATATGCGTATCGATCAAAGGAATTCAGAAAGAAACTCGAGATTTGGTGCTCGGAAGCTAAGACATTTTGCTTGTGTGTTATTTTGTGTTTTGTGGGTGACAGGTGCAGAAATTTGTGTTGCAATATAAATGATGTTGAGAAGCTAGGGGATGTGTTGTTTCGCGTAGAGGAATAGGGTAGTAAAGTGTAAATATGAATGTAAATTAGAAAAAATTGTAAGGTTGGCCCATGTGGTTTACTATATTTAACACAATGAGACCAATGTTATAAAGCGTTATGTGATCGGTCGTGTGCTTTCAAAAAATTGCCCCTAGTCAATTTGGGAAACACCATGTGCTTTTGGCCGTTAGTCAACACCACATCATCAAGCTGGGTGACGTGGCTTGCCACTTTTGCTGCTAACGGGACTGATCGGAGGCTTAAGAAATTATATGGCTTGCCATATCAACATATAATACACCACTACCCTCTCACCTTGACCCTTTATATTCTCCCTCGTCAGTCTCGTTCATCACTTTGTCTGCTCATCTTTCTTTCTCATTTGCAGAAGCAAATAATTCTCTCCCCTTCGCCTCTTCAATGTTAATCTTTAATCATTCAATCGCATTCTTAATGTCGCCTCCTAAATGTTGATCTTCATTCTCATTATTAAGCCAAGTTGTAGAGAAAAACCTTGAGCAACAAGGCGACCTTTGTATTGGTCAAGATTGTCATGATTGTCGAACGTGTTGCGATAAAGCCAACAACAACCAATAATCTTGGCATGTAGAGGTTGAGGAACAAGATCCCAAGTGTTATTGGAGAGGAGAGTAACCATTTTGTACTACATTGTTGCATTCCAATGAGGGTCACACGAGGATTGAGTTGTAGAACATGAAATATGAAAGATATTGGAGACAACAGACAAGTTAAGAATTTATTAGGGTTTAAAGGAGCCTGATAGAAAGATAGTAGTCATAGGATGATCGATTGCAATCGAAGTAGGTTGGGCATTAGATGGGTTATTGTTAACTAAAGGAAATAAGGGTTATAATTCGTGACCGAGGCTCCACCCTCAGTTTAAGGTAGATGATGATGGACGACTTCAGTTTGAGATGATGAATTAGAGACGACCTCGGTAGGAGAGAGAGAGAGAGAGAGAGAGAGAGAGAGAGAGAGAGGATGTAAGTTATCCTCGAGAATAAGAGAGTCAGCGTCAGATAAGATGTAAGAGGCATAAAAGTCAGAAAACGGAAAATGGTCATCGTCAAAGATGACATGTCAAGAGATGATGACATTTTGGGTAAGAAGGTCAAGACAACGATGTCCTTTATGATAAGACGATGGACTAAGATAGACACATGCCGAAGAGCGAGGAGAGAGTTTATGACAGCCGTATAGGAGGTGTTTTAGTTAGGTTACTAAGAAATATTAACCAAACAATGGTTTACGTAATAAAACTAGGTTGTGTAATATCTTTGAGTAATTGTGTTATAGAAGTAGAGATCATATGTATTAGTAATATTAAAAAGTAGATATTTACTTCAAGAATGCGTTTGACACCTTCACACAAAATGATTATTTTCAAA